AGTAATAAATGCTTTGAAACAAACCTGGCATGTTTCCTGCTTCGTGTGTGTGGCCTGTCATAACCCCATCCGCAATAATGTCTTCCACTTAGAAGACGGCGATCCCTACTGTGAGACGGGTAAGAAGCAACACAACCAAAGTTTACTGCAGCTGTGTGGGGAAGCAGAGCTTAATAAGGTTGGAAAAAATAATAATTGCTTTTTCTCAAGCTTCACTTCAGAAGTGTCCCAGCAAATTCATGTAACTCCGATATGTCAATTCAAAGCAGCAACAAATGCTGTAGACACTTCGAGTTTGCAGCAGGAGAAGTTGGTGAGAATTTCTTCATCGGCTTCAGCAGAAGGAGGCTTCTTGTCACTGGTCTTACTTGTTGTTCCTGTTAAGCCTTCGGCTGTAGGTATCGGTGATACAGCAAAATGTTAATTTTAGGTTGACTTTCTGGTTGGCTTTAAAATAATCTGGAGTTTATGTAAATCTCCTTATTTACTAAACAAGCAAATGCCAGTGGAGTAGTATTTTTTACTCTGAATAACCTTATTCACAGCTGGGAGGGACTTCCAAGAGTAAGGAGTCTGCCCAGGATGTTTTTTTGCAGGATCAGGAATAACATCTGTTGAACGCAAGCTTGGGATAAAAAAATAGACTGTCAAGGGAAAAATACAGTGATACGATTATAGCACTTGAAAGCCTGATGAGTAATATGACGTGAAAGGTGTGGCCTAGAAGTTCAGAGGGATCCTGGTTTGGTTTTTAGCACTTCCAGCTAATCATATCTTTTTTATTATTATGAACAGTTTTATTTGTATTGCTTTTATTTTAAAACTTCTCATGTACCCTTCTGGGCTAGGAAAGAAATAGATAGTATTTGTAAAACAATTCCCACAAAATGGAAAAGAAACAAAATTGTATCAAAATTGCCTATTTTCACGCTGCATGCTGTTTACATCCATGTTAGAACCATCAGTCGGGCCTTTTCTGTTTTTTTAATTCTATTGTAAGGAGTATTACAGTTTAACTAGAGGTGGAAGTGGATCGACCAGGAAGAGATTTAGCGTGAAATCCTAGTGACCTGTTTGGAGCTAAGGTTTCCTTCTGGGTTGATCCCACAGTTGTTTGCAGCAGGTGCCATGGAGAGTGCGAGGTACTGAAAGGATGAGGAAAGCAGGCAAAATTTATCCAAAGTTTCTCTGTCAGAGCGGCTTTAATGAGGTGTTGGCAGATACAAAAGGACGCAGTAGGTTGTTGCTAACTCAGTGACACAAGTAGGGTAACGTGTTGCTCCTATTGAATTTGTGGAGCAGCAGAGGAAATGGATATATGAGCAGCATCCTCCAGCGTGACAGCACAGTGAAATTTCATCCTGAAGCAATCTGAAGTCCCTAATCTTGGAACCATTTGATGATTCAAAAATAGTACTGGAGGAATCGATAACTCCCCTTTCGGTGGAAAGCTCGTGACTGGGTTTGTTCTGCTAATATTGAATTCTGGTTCCTGCCACCAAATGACCCGTATGTCATGTGGTGCATTGATTTATGCTACTGTTACGACTCCCGTGCACAAATGCGCACTTTTTTATACTGTGAGCAGGAAACGCTGAGATAAAGCGTCAAGAATATTATACTTCTCGCAAAGTTTATTTCTGAGATAACTTGTGCTAGCAACTTTCTAATGTAGACATGTTCTGTGAGGTGTTATTGGCGGTGTTATGTGGTAATGGCTCTGGCTCTCTAACTAGATGTTAATTTGAGATATATCCATTCTTCAAAGATTTTCAGTCCAGCTGGAGTTAAGAGTCTATGACTAATTTTAAAGAAATAAGGCATAAATGTCATTGCCAACTTTCCTTCTTCCTAATGCAAAAGGTTCTAATTTTAAATCTGTATTTGAAATTGTAACAGCATCAGCTATTAGTATTAAGGCAGTTTAATCCGCAAAATGTCCTGGTTTTGGATGTCCATGCTAAAATTAAATTAAAAGTGCAGATATCTACATCTTTGAACTTTTTTTTTAAGTGCAGAGTTAGTAACCTAGTTTTGAAAATGCTGTGTGCAGGAAGCACTGATATGTGACTGTATGAGAAGTCTGCCTTGGGAGGCTCCTGTGGTATCACAATTCAAGGATGCAAAAGCAAAAGAAAGCTGATGCCCTTCATTCTCCCTTATCTATTGCCTTTCTTCAGAAGAAAAGCCAATGAACTTACCGACACAAACCACAGGCCAACTTACAAAAGGCTTTAACTACTGGCATCAGGAAAACATCAGTAAAAGATTCTGTATGAACACGAATGCAAAGAACTGGAACAGTATGGTCACGAGACCGTGTCCTTCAGGGGTTTTGGACAGAGGTGTTCTACCATTTGACTTTTTTCTGGTCTGTCTTCTGCTTAAACACTTGCAAATTCATGCCAGTAGCATGGATTAATGAAGGCGATCTGTGAAGCTGTTTCCTGCCACTGGCAGCCATCAAGGACTTGCTTTTCCAGGGCACTTGTGTTCCCTGTCCTGCTGAGAGGCCTCCAATGATGATGCTTTTTGAGGTCATCATACAAAACAGTCTTACTAAACCAAAACAGGACTCTTCCCTTGGGCTTGACACATGTGATAAGCCCCTGTTGGCTCTGCTGCAGTAAGCACTAGAGCTTCAGCAGATCTGTATAATCTAGTAGAGAAACAAAATCTCCTTGTACCCCGCTTGCCACTCCTTATAAGGCTCCTTGAAAACAACCCCTGACATCTAATTTCCTTGTCAGAGCCAGAGTGTTGCTATTAAGGATGGAGTCCAAAGCTTCATTATGGTTGTCGCTCTACAGTTCATCTTATGAAGACGTAATCTTGTATGACGTTATGTGTTTGGCATGGCAGCGTGCTGATCCCAAATTCAGTCATGTTATAGCACTAGCTGTTGTCTTCTGTGCAGGAAAAAAAAACATTTCCATCTTAGAATGGGGTGTTTGAGAGTTGAAATAAGTGGAAAAGACCAGACAACCTGGGGTGAAATTTAGGTCTGCACAGGTGGGCAGCAGAGGGCTGTGGTGACTGGTAGCCCCTGGGATGGCTGTACACAGAGGCGAGTTTCATACACTGAGACTGTGGGGAGGGGGGTGGGTGTCAGTGCCTCCCACCCAACTTTATACATGTATTTTAACCTGCTAGTCTGCCCTGCTCTCTCTTTTTCAAGCTCTGCAGTTGGTGGGCATATGAACAGTTTGGTGCCCTTGGTTTTGGTCCCTGGTCTCTGAGACTGCTGGAGGGGCTTTTCTCTGCTGATTGCAGGGGAGCCTCCAGAGGCACCAAGTCAATCCGGGGGCCTAAAAATGAATGGTGCAAATACCCTTCAGTGATTCCAGTCACTAATAACCATCCTGACACCCTACTGATACTTTTTGTTAAACGCAATAAATATATTGCCTCTGGTTTGGTTTTGGTTTGGGTTTTTTGTGGTTGGTTGGTTTTTGGTGGGGGCAGGGGGGCAGGGAGTGGGTTTTTTTTAAAGCCTTTAATAAACTGCAGTGACTAGAAAACTATTCTGACTTGATCCAAATTGCTAACTCTGTTTAGGACAGAAGCCTAATGATTGCATGATTTTGTGTAGTGCAGTCTGGGGCAAATATTGTGCCAGAAGGTAGGCAGGAGTTCGTTACTCACTGAGGAGGTCTGTCATGTGAACAGCCAGGGTATGCTTCCAAGGCAGAGCTGGAGAGGAGGTAAGGAGCACGTAGAGCCCACACAGGTGCTCTGCAAGGAGTGCATTTCCCCTACCCCCCAAGTCCACTATTGAAGGATTCCTTCCTTACTCAAGGAAATGAAACACCAGGAAGATGGAAGCATTGCTCACTTGGAAGGATAAGGAAGGGGATGAGAACTGAATTAGCGAGGAAAGGAGGGCATCCCAGTCTTTCGATCTAGGAGCTCTTTATTCAGTGTACCCAGTATTATACAAACTTAACAAGTGCAAACCCACTGCCATTGAAAGAAAAGCACAAAGGTTTCAAAGGGTCAGTCTCGCTTTTCTGCATATGCTTCATCTTTAACATCTCTTTGTATTTGTTTGCAGATTACTATGCCCTCTTTGGTACTATGTGCCATGGCTGTGAATTCCCCATTGAAGCTGGAGACAGGTTTCTTGAAGCTCTGGGCCACACTTGGCATGACACTTGCTTTGTATGCTCAGTAAGTAAAGCTAGTCTACATTTTAAACAAACCCATGGCAGCAGTGCTTGTGCTAACCTGACCAGTACGGGAGTTAACAGCTATAACCTCTTTCAATCCTCTAAGCCCAAACAAAAAGCACTTTCCCAGTTACTTGGTAGGTGTGTTGCTATTGTGAGCCTTTGGCACCAGTCCAGGCCTGGATTGCAGCCATGTGTCCTAGCGTTTAACCCTTGATGTTTACTTCCTTGGAGCAAGCATTGAAGGCCATGCAGGAACAGGCTGCATTTCTAAAGTAGCAAGAGTGCTTCTGACATAAAGACACTGTAGCCAAAGTATCACGGGCTAATATTGTATGACCATAAAAAAAACCCCCAATCCTAATGATAGGATTTATTTTTTTAAATGCTGAACCTAACTCTGCTCCCAGTTAAGAACTTGTTGACTTAAAGAAAGAAAGGTTGTGTTTGCATCAACCATTAGTATTGCATCAAAAAGAGTGTCCCTAAGAAAAAGGTAATGATTCTTATTCTTAGAATATATTTGTGCATAGAACAATGCATTGATTTGGCATTCTGAATACTATATGGTGTAATTAATCCATCTGAATTGGGTGATCTTTTCTTTTTTATCCCATTTCAGGTATGCAGTGACAGTTTGGAGGGTCAGACTTTCTTCTCCAAGAAGGACAAGCCACTGTGCAAGAAACACGCTCACTCTATCAACATCTGATGCTTGGAGCTTATCTTGTGTAACAAATGTACTGAACAGAAAGAAAGGTTAAAATGTCTATGTTCAGCAATTCTAATTTTTAGAGCGTTTATCAGTTAGGGTTCTGCTTCCTAAAAAGATAGGAATTGGGAATTGCACCCAAGCCAAATGATTAGAGTGCCTTTACCTCTACACTTGGCACATTACTATATTAGTTTCATGATTTTATGACCACATTTATATCTGCTTCAGTATGAGAAGTAAAATGTCTATAAAAATAAATACCCAATATTAGAAGTCTTGGTGTTGCTGCTGTTCAACAAATAAAAGGAGATTGGCTTCAGTGGTCCAGATCACTTTATCACGCTGATGTCTCTTAAAGTGTGTCTAGAAGTATTGCAGCTAAACTCCATTAAAAGGAACTCAAAGCAAAGATAAGATTATATGGAACATATAGGTCAACAACTGGTATTTTTATCTGATACCTGTATACACAAAGCCTCCTGTACATTCACACATACCTGTGCCTTTGCAGTTAAATCTCTGATGGGTCTGCAAAGGACAGAGAATTTTACAAAGCAGTTAAGTTGGGTGATGGCTATGCTGGTGAACAGGAATAGTTTAGAAGATGCCACTTAGAAGAAAATATAAATGGGATACTCTTCCTTAACTCATGTACTACCAGAACACTAGCCAAAAAACCTGCTAGTGAAGGTGTGTTTGATAGGATGGAAATGTCAGATCAGATCTTGAAAGTAAGGGAGTAGGGGAGTTACACTCTTATGTTTGCAGTTCAGGTTTTAGATAGTTTTAGGTGCCTTGGAAAGGGGAAATTGCACTGAATCTGCAGGTAACAGTGTTTTATATCCAGAATGTGAGACTCTGGTGTTGAATGAGGGAAACTGCTGAAGTGCAACTGAGGACATTGTTTTTCTCTCAGTACATTCTTTACCATGTAGCTCATGAATATGTATATTGGTGGTGTGCCAGGTAGTGTACTGAAAACTTACTTTCTTGCTCAGCTCTTACGATTTTTATTAGTTTGGGTTTTATTTCTCTCTTTTCCTCCAGATGCAGGGAATATATTGTTGAATAACGTAATATTGAGTTTAGGCAGCTCAGTATCTCTCAGTTCCTGCAAGGGAGCAGACACACAATGCTGTCATTATGCGTTTACTGCGAGCCAGGAGACGTAGCCAATTCTGTGGCTTGATATGAATTTCGCCTCCATACAGAGAGTCAGCGCAAGACCTGTGCGCCAGCTAAGTCCCACTTAACTTCAAATTAGGGCTTAAGTGGTATGGAGCAATTGTAGGCAGATAGGGAAGAGGTGGTGACCCTCTGCACGGGGTGAATTTTGCTCCAGCAGAGTTGCACAACAGAGAAGGGGGCCCTCTCAGGGCCAGATCAGATTCCTGAAGGAAACTGAATTTATGTGCTATTTAATTCAACTGGGAAGTCAGATGTAACTGAATTGATAGTCTGTAGTGCTCTTACCAGTAGACATTAGAAGTAACCATTTACTGGTTTTGTTGTTGTGGGGTTTTTTTGTTTGTTTGAGGGTTTTTTTTACTGATACAAAGCACAGGTTTATCCATAAAACCATGGGGAAAATCACAAAAAATTGCCATGGTTGAGTAAAGCAATTGTAACAAGGAACGTCAACAAAAGAGGGGGAAAGAAAACCAAAATTGCTGTACTGAAATATGAAAAGATATTTAGCTTTCTTATTAATTCAGTGAGACAGGTTCACATTGTGAGGCTGTTTCACTTTATTTCCTGAAGCTGTTTTTCTTCAATACTACCACATTTCTTTTTTTAACTTCTGGTGGTACGGAAGAAATGGCATAAAGCTGTTTAAACTGTTTACATTCTTGTAGATGTACCCTTTTGTGAGTTTGGCTGAAAATCAGAAGGGTAGAAGCAGACTGGACCAGATACAGTAATATATGAGCCAGGTTGCTTTTGAAATTAGGTGGAATATGGAGAAATGAGACCTAGAGACTAGGCTTCAGTGGAGCTATATTGCACAAGTGTGAGGAAGGAGGATGGGAATGCACAGGATAAGGTGTTCGGTAATTTCTGCAATTCAAACGTGGCTATTTTAAAGTAGGATAGAAACTTTTCAGTTTGTCATTGTCCTTAAAATCAAATTGAATTTTGTTTAGTTTCATAATTTTAATTGGAATTATATTTCTTAATCCATATGCTCTAGGGTTTGCAATTTTGCAGTCATTAATGAGTTTGAGGACAAAAGCCTGAAAGGCTCCAATAGTACTGCTTCATTTAGGTGCTTTGCCTTTTAATTTTTGCTTTTATCTATTTGTTTAAAATTTAAAAGGAAGCATAGAGTCACTGATACGTAATGAATATTTAATGGCTCTACCGAATTATATAAATCAACTAAAAGGAACATAATTTTTATCTTTATTTTAATAAGTGAGATTTTAGTAGAGCACTTTATAATAATGCCATATGTCTCACTGAATATTTATTACTTTTTTTGTTTAGGACTATTTCATACTGGTATCTTTGTATTTTGTTTTATTTGTAAGCCTGCGTATTTACCTCTAGAATCTTTTGGTCTGTGAGTGCGTGTATGTGTTTATATATACTTCTCTATACATGAACACTTATGTGTGTGCATTGAGAGACATACTTATATATGCACATATACATACATATATTTGACTGCAGACTTGCCATAGCAAAAATCAGCACCGTTTCATCATTTGGGGATTTTGTGAGATTCCCAACTATTTTTCATACAACACATGTATAGCATTCATGTTTTGAGGGAATGTTAGAGAGTAAGGAGAGACATGTTAGTAACCTAACTACTGTTGGTTTTTGCATGCATTTTCAGTCAGTAATTATTTTTCTTCCAAAACTGCCTGTAAGAGAATCGGGTTTAACTCTAAAGGTAGAAGGTCTTTATAAGTGAATAGTTGAATCATGATGACAGTTTCAGTATATTGTAACTAAATAATTCAGAATTATGTGTAAATATAAATGCTTAATATAACAATGCAATAAACTTAAAAGCAAAAGTTGAGTTGTGGTTCAGTGTGTGTTGGCCTGTTCAGTTGTGTACTTGCTTGTTCATGGAGCTGCTCGCATCATCTAGCCACATGAGTAGCTTTGCAAACAAGAGTAAGAAGGGGAACTACATCAATTCACAGATTACTTGTTCGACTTCCTTTTTTTTTCCCATTCATTTACAATAAACAACCAGCTGTTAAGTCCTGGTGATTTCCTTGCTTGTGTTTAATAATAATCTTTGGCATCAAATTTTGGCTGTTCACATTTGCAAATTTAATTATATTTAAAAAACAAAAGAAACAAATAAACCCAACAGAAAACCCCAAACTCTCTATCTGTCCTCAGTCGTTTTGTGGTTGTTGGATGTTTTCTTTTCCTGAATCATAGTCAGTAAAAGGAAATCATGATTGTACACATGAATAGATATCATTTGAATTGCTCGTTCTTCAGTTTTTTGGGGTAGAATGGAGGTTTGCTTTACAGAAAAGGACCTGGGGGTCGTGGTGGACACCAAGTTGACCATGAGCCAGTGATGTCCCCTTTGTGACAAGGAAGACCACCAGCCTCCTGGGGTCCATTAGGTGGAGCATTGCCAGCAGATTGAGGGAGGTGATCCCTCTTCTCTGCTCAGCCTTGGTGAGACACATCTGGAGTGCTGGGTCCAGTGCTGGTCTCGCCAGTACAAGAGAGGCATGGCCATACTGGAGTGAAAAGCTAGGAAGATGATTAAGGGCTTGGAGCATTTGTCGTACAAAGAGAGTCTGAGCAAGCTGGTACTGTTGAGCTTGGAGAAGAGAGGGCTCAGGGGGGATCTCATCCATGTGTACAAATACCTGGAGGGGGGAATAAAGAAGATGGAGCCAAACTTGGCTCAGTGGTACATAGTGACAGGACAACTGTGAGGATGGCCAAACGCTGGCACACGTTGCTCAGAGAGATTGCGGAGTCTCTGTCCTTGGAGAGACTCAAAACCCGACTGAACATGGCCCTTGGACTAGACAAGGCCCCTTCATCTCCAAAGGTCCCTTCCAACCTCAGTGAGTCTCTGATTCTCCATCTTTTCTCAAGGTGGAATGAAAGATGGAAATATGGTATTGAACACTGCAGAATATGTACCAATGTAAAACTCAGTATTGGCCAATTACTGTTTATTTGTTATCTTTACTTCATTCTACCACCCATCTAGAATACTTTGCAATGCTATTTAGAAGTGTTTAGTATTTTTCCTAAGTTGAGACTGTTCAAGGAAATATTGCCTGCTCTGGCAAGCATTATCTGATAGTGTACTTAGCCTTGGCACGCAGCAGTCTCCACTTTCACTGTGGGATACTTAACCATCTACTATAACATGGCCAATTACTTCACGATAATACCAGCATGGTAAGACACTCCTTAGCTGAGTATCTCTTAACTAGGCAAATGCACTGTTGTTTTGTACCTTTATTTACACAAGTGAAGGAAAACACTGCACATAGCTCTATAAAATTTAGAGGCAACTTTACAGAAAACTTGCCTCCCCTTCAGTGTTTATGCTATGAATGAGACAAACGCAAGTCTATTTGCAAACAGTATATTAAACTCCAGAAGCCAAACTTTTAAAGGCATCAAGTCTGCATTTGACGTTTTAATGGCAAAGGTTTGGTTTCTGTCAATCACAACGTCATGTAACATTAAAATGCACCGACAAAAAAAAGAGATCTGTCATTCATTCATTAAGACACTGTAATCCACTGTAAGATTTATAGGCTTAAAACTCAATGGTGTGTTTTCACAATAAATCCACTTTCACTGCTCAGCACAGAACAAATCTCTCTGTCGCTCAAAATGTTTGCTGGTCAAAATGGCCTGTATGAGATCTTCAAAGGGTTTCTCACAAAATTGCGTATAAATCCTTTTACCAGCAAAGGCTTAATTTAGGTTCAGGTTTTACTTTCTCGGGACATTGGTTAATATCTTGTGCTCAGACAAGATCTTGGTTATATCAGAAACACATAGGGCCTAATTTATTATTAGCAGTCTGGTGTTAATTAGGGGGAATTACCAGA